TTTTTTTTAAATTTTAATTTAATTAATTTTTAATGAAAATTAAATTGAATTGAAAATAATTACTATTAATAGATATATTTCAATTAACTGAAAAATAGCATTCATTTTTCTTTAAACCCAAAAAAAAACCTCTTCACCAAACTTTCTTCTGAAAAAAAGAAAGAAAGAAAAAAAACAATTGCTTTTTTTAATTCCCTTTACAGTTTACATCCCTCTCCTTTCTACTTTTCTTTTCTTACTTTTATTTAATAAAGTAAAATAAGAAATAAAAAGGGAGAGGCAGTCTTTACCAAACACCCTCTTTGAACGCTCCGGTAGCTTTCGTTTTTAATGGTCAATCAAAACATATTTGCTTTGAAAAATAACAAACTAATATTTTTTATAATCTTAATACGTTAATTTAAAAAAATTAAAAAAATATTAAAAAAAACACTCTTTTTTCACCCAAAGAGCATAAAACAAGAGAGGGGAGGAAAGCTAGAGAGACGCGCACATTGCTCTCTGAGATCCCTCTACCTTCTTTCCGAATCGAACAGGCATCCGTTTTAGGTGAAATTGAGCTGTCTTTTCGATCCAATTCAAATGGGTAATCCATGATCTCTCTCAATCTATTCTGTCATTCTCTCTCTCTATCCTTAACGTCTCCTTCCATTATTATTGTTGTTGTTGTTATTATTACATTCTGTCACTCTCTCTCTCTCTCCTTAACGTCTCCTCCAATTATTATTATTATTATTATCTACCGGATTGGTGTCTTCTCGGCTCAATTTGTAACTGTTCTTTCGGTTTCTTACTTGCTTTTTGCAGTTAAATTTGTTGAATTTAGTTATCGTGCGACTTTTTATTACGAGATGAATGAATTTGATTCACTTTTTCCGGTTTTTAGGATATGTTGTGATTGCAGATTGATAATTATCAATTTTCGGGTATTTATGGAGTTTGGATCATGATTTTACTTTGAGGCAAATGTGGATAGGAGAAGAGGATTTTGAGATCTTGATTTTTTTTTATTTGAGGATGAATTTGAAAAGAGTTTACTACTTTTGAGGACTAAATTAAATTGAGTTTTTTTATTCAAATGGTTTGATTTTGAATCGAAATTGCCATTTCATACACAATTGTGGCTCTGTTTCTCTCTCCCCCCCCCCCTCTTTGTCTTCTTTTTCTTGCCGAAGGAACCAAGGACTGATAAATGTTTTGAACTATGTACATGTTTGGTGATGTGGTTGAAAGTGTTTTTTTTTTTTTTAAAGAAAATCAAATTGATGCTTCTTAGGTGAGTTTCAATGGTTTTTGACGTCCTTGTATAAAAAAAATCGAAAATCACCTAAGAAAGCAATCTATTTGATGCATTTTCAGACAATAAGTCTTTTGAAAAGCACCCCAACCGCAGTGCCAAATAGTCCCTAAGTGGTTTCTAATGGGGTAGAAGTGTGAAAACCTCAGCTTATGGCTTTAAGGAATCTTCGTTTTGAATTGTATGAAGATTCGTGTATTCTATTTCTGTTATTAGTTTGTATGGGAAACTCCCACAGATCAATATGGCATGGAACTTTTGAGCTGTTAGTTGTTTTAAAGGTTATATATGGTTATGTATTTACTGTAAGATATGTAATCTGTAATCTTTAATTTGTGCTCCAAAACTAATTTGTGTAACGTTTACTTTTCAGAAAAGAGCGATGGTTGCTGTTCTACTCACCTTATTGATGGAGATGGTGCGTTTAATGATACTGGATTAGAACAATTAATCAAGGAAGTGAGATTAGGGGAATGTGGATTGTCATATGCTGTAGTCTCCATTATGGGCCCGCAAAGTAGTGGTATGAATCTTTTTCGTTCATTGATGAGTTAACCTTTAGTTTATGTCTCTCTGGTTGTCCTTATTTTTGTTTGATTAAAAGATTTTCATTCCGTGATCTGATTTGGCAAATCGCTTTGCACTAGAAGCTAGAACAGTATGATTTATCCTGTAAAGAAGGTAAGAGAAGGTTTTGATTTTGAGACACAGTGCTGCACTTTTTGGAATGTAGTCAACCTGGAATAATTAACAGCACAGCTGGTATATTTAATGTGAATTTGAATGTTGTTCTATCTAGTTTTATCAAGCTGTCCCTAGTTTTAGTTCAATTCAAGTTCCACCACCTTTCCAGTTTTATTCGCTAATAATTTACACCTGTTATTAATGGCCCATGTTGCCTGAAGAGTTTTACATTGGTTTCTTTGGACTGGACAGGGAAGAGCACTTTGTTGAATCATTTGTTTGGTACCAGCTTTAGAGAGATGGATGCTTTTAAAGGAAGGCACGTTCTTGCATTGCTCTCTCCAATTTGATTATCTTTAATTGCACTTTTTCCTTGAACATGAAAAACTTTCTGGAATTGCTAAAGCCTGATAGGTTCCTTTTATTTTCAGGTCTCAAACCACTAAGGGAATTTGGTTGGCAAGATGTGCTGGTATTGAACCCTGTACTCTTGTAATGGATTTGGAGGGAACTGATGGAAGAGAACGTGGAGAGGTGCCTTTATTATCATTTTTGAAATAACTCTACTTGCATTTCTCCCTCCCTCCCTCTTTCCCTATAGCACCATTTAAAGTTTTCTGGGGTTTTCAGTTTTCTGTAATCTTTTTATACCTTGTTTAAATTGTAAATTCATTTTGTATTACACAAATGCAGCCATGTTCTAAAACTGGTTATATTATATTACCCTCTTAGATCTGCTCTATATTCATGAAACTTTTTTCAGTATAGAATGAGCAAATTAATTCTAAAAAATTTGCAGTGAACTTCTGAATCCAAAAATCAGTAGGTTATGCACTTTTAACCTAAATCGTGCTTTGGCTGACAACAATACCTCTTTGGTCATGAACACATCCTTGGGCTGCCTTCTTTGAATTTTTTGAAGATTTATGCACATATGATCCCTCCAATAGTCTACCAGAATGGTTTGTCAGTTATGGTTAGGGTTGTAATTGTATTGGCTGCATTTAGATATATAATTTGGAGTTGTTTGATTAAGATTTTATCGATGTAGATTTGGAAATGCTGCGCATTACATTAGTGAAATTATTTTATATCAAACCTCGTCAGGTGTAAGTGAACAATCCTCTAGTCAATGGTCAAAGAAATGGGTAGGAGGGAGAATTGTCTTTTTGTTGTATGTTAGCAAAACCTGCCCAATATATTGACTTCCATTGAGAGAAATAGCACATTAAAGGGTTTTTCCTGGAAGAGAGTTTTTTCTCTCAAGAAACACTAAATGAAACAGTATATTGTTGTTTGCTCTCTTATCTAGTGTTCTTCTCTTCATTATTAGGATGATACAGCATTTGAGAAACAGAGTGCCCTTTTTGCCCTTGCTGTCTCAGATATAGTATTGATTAACATGTAAGATCTCTATCTTGCACTGGACATAAATTCTTTATGTTTCTTATAATGTTTAGGTTTTCCATAATTTGTATGCATAACCTTTCTAAGAAATATTTATTTAGGTGGTGTCACGATATTGGTCGTGAGCAAGCTGCAAATAAGCCTCTTTTAAAGACTGTATTTCAGGTAACCTTGCTTGTGTTGTCTGCAAACCTTCAATATGGATTTTATAAAGTTCCCAGGGTTTTGGAACTTGATGGGTTTGTTTGCTCTCAGGTCATGATGCGATTATTCAGTCCACGCAAAACAACTTTGATGTTTGTCATACGTGACAAAACAAGGGTGTGTTTCTCTCCTTCATGCTAGTTAATGTTGTGGCTTGACTGTGCTTTTACTTGTATACATTATGCTGATCTTTGGTTCTTTACAGACACCATTGGAGAATTTAGAACCTGTTCTAAGAGAGGACATTCAGAAGGTAAATGAAACCATGCTTTCCTTATTTACTGAATTATGGTATTGTCTTTAAACTTTTTGCTTCTATGTAACTGCAGATATGGGACTCTGTTCCCAAGCCAGAAGCTCACAAGGAAACTCCATTGAGTGAATTCTTTAATGTGAGATGTTAGGCTTTTGTCTGAACTTGTTTTTGAAATGTCCTTTTCTAGAAGGGAGAGATGTGGATCATTGATATTTGACTTTGCAATATTTCTGATAAATGATGGCCAGGTTGAAGTTGTTGCTCTTTCTAGTTATGAAGAAAAAGAGGAGCAATTCAAGGAGCAGGTAGAGAAAATATGTTTCTTGCTGTTTGTGTTGCGTGCAAATTAGATGGATGTTAGTATCCAGTAATTCCATTTTAAAGTCCTTGCATTTCAAAGTTTAAATGTATCAAACTCGTTGCCTACCATCTGGATTCTAGTTTGTGATCTAAACATTGAGCTGGAACTTAGCTAGCATACCTTTGTTATTTGATAGACTTCTTCTTGTCAATGAAGGTTGCTAGTTTGAGACAGCGATTTTTCCATTCTATTGCACCTGGTGGGCTTGCAGGAGATCGTAGGGGTGTAGTTCCTGCTTCAGGTTTCTCTTTCAGTGCACAGGAAATCTGGAAAGTTATTAAGGAAAATAAGGACCTTGACCTTCCTGCCCACAAGGTAATTTGGTGAATATTTATTTAGCAGAGGATTAGAGTAAGTACATCCACATTTTATTAATGCCATATGTGACCCCAATAATCCTTTCCACAAGGTAATTTCATGAATATTTACTTAACACAGACATGGAACAAGTACATCAATATTTTGTTAATGCCATTTTCAACCCCCATATTCTTGCAGGTTATGGTTGCTACTGTACGCTGTGAAGAAATTGCCAACGAAAAATATGGTAGTTTTGTTGCAAATGAGGTATAGGCTTTTAAAGTATTCTGTCATCCTTTCATTTCTTATTTCCACTTCTTGTCTCTTGATCTTATCCTTAGTGGGAGCATTGACACTGAGAAAATATGGTTTATTATCTTCCACAGAAGTGGTGTCAAATGAAAGAGGCTGTAGAATCTGGTCCGGTCTCTGGCTTTGGAAAGAAGCTTAGTGCAATTCTGAATATTAGTTTGTCTGAGTAAGTGTTTTTCCTTGTGCAATATATAAATTTACAGTGGCTCTGCTACTGATGTGTTCCGGTGTAGGGTTAGCAGACAGCTTTAGAAACTGCCTTAAGCTTTGGCAGATATGATGTAACTTGGGTGAAGAACTGAAAGCTATATCTCTATTTTTGCAAGGTGCTTATATGCCGGTGACTTTGACTTTGTGCTTAGTTCCACACTTATCATCCAACAAGAGGGTATTAGAAATTTAGAAGCATTGTTAGATTCTAATGGAATTTATTTTCATTAGAATCCTAATAAAATTGGTGAACAAGATGACTACTGCACGGATTCATACTCTAATAAAGCCGATTAGATTATTTTTTCTGGTTGATGAAGGGATGGTTGGGTTGACTTCTTGATTATAATGTTTCAGATTTCATACCTTGTTATTATCTGGTGCTTTCAGAATTTCTTTTTCCCTTACCACAACAACTTGTTTTAAGCTGGCCCTTTCACTTTTTATGCGCCATGAAATAGAGTTTCTTATGATTCTAGGTAGATCTGCTTCATCTTTGGCTGCATCTTTAACTCAATTTTCTCTACTTTCATTATCTGGGAACCTTTTATTCAGCACCTGTTCTATGGCTTAAGATATGCATTAAAAACCATGCTGATTTGGTTATCATAAATAATGGCCTTTTTAATTCTAGGTATGATGCCGAAGCTATTTATTTTGACGAAGGAGTAAGATCTGCAAAGCGAAAGCAGCTTGAGGAAAAATTGCTCCAAGTAATCAGTCTCTCAAGAATTTTTTCTTTTAAAATTTTATGGTAATTGTTTTGATTGATGAAAAACTGAGATATTGCCATAAAATCGAGAACTTAGGATATTGAAGTACAGTCATTGCCTGTCCATTTGGAACTAAAAGCATGTCAGTATTTAGGCTACTAATTCTTTTGATTTGTGTATAAACTATTAACGTGATCATTTTACAGTCCAGAAAAGTGGCCACCAGTAGTCACATTAATATGGAAATAGAATCAAAACTAATTTATGTTAATACTCACACAGCTAATTTGAGTTGTATATTAGAATGTATGGACAACCTTGAATGCATAAGCATGTGACTGCATAGAGATCAACAGAGGTGGCTGGATGAGTTTTATGGCTTGATATCAAACCTTTTATATGATTTCTCTCTTATTACATCAAAGCATTCAACCCAAAAACCTCAAGCTAGTTGGCAGAGAGGCTTGTGTATCATGTCAAGTTATTCTTTATGGCAGTGAGAATTGTTTCCGCATAAGAAGATTAGATGTATGAAATACGAAGTATGATCTATAAGTGATTGGTAAGAAGGTGGAAATGCATCTGATTGAGGATAGGTTGAGGGAGTGCATTTTGAGATGGTCTGGTCATGCATAGATCTACGGATGCTTTGGTGTGGAACATTGATTGACTGCGTGTCCTTGGAGTAAAGAAGGTGTGGGATAGAAGTGTGTGCTGAAATGGTGAAAGAAGATATAGTATTAAAATATATTAAAGCATGTTTGTGCTCATAACATAATGGATATTAGTTTCCTTATGGGCCACTCAATTCATGTGCTCTGAGGATTGTATTTGCAGAGTGCTGTTTTTGGATTTCTATCTTCTGCAGCTTATTTATAGCAGTTTCAACTGTTTTCTTATGTTTGATATCAAATTTATGAATAATTAATCTGGTTAGCTGTCTTCTTGTGCTTTGTAGCTTGTCCAACCAGCACATCAATCCATGTTGGGTCATATAAGGTCTGGAACTCTTGAAAAATTCAAGGAAGCATTTGATAAAGCTTTGAATGCAGGAGAAGGGTTCTCTTTGGCTGCTCAAACTTGCACTCAGTTTTACATGGCTCAATTTGATGAATGGCGTGCAGGTATGATTACATGACTTAAATACATTTTGCCATTTCATTATTAGCTTTGATGATGTAGAAAAACAAGGCTTTGAAAACAAAGCTGTCAAACAAGTGGAAAGAAACTTTATCACACTTTATTCTTAGGGGAAAATAATATCGAATTGCTGTTGCATGATTAAAAGCACAAGGGTAATATGAGCAGCCTTTTGTTTAATCAGCTATGTAATTAATATGAGAGTATTGAAAAACTACCTATACTGTCTGGGCTCAATAAAGTATATCTTCTCTTTGAAATACTATAATCACAGATGCTGTCATTGAACAAGCAAACTGGGACACATCTAAAGTGCGGGATAAGCTACATCGTGATATAGATGCACATATTGCTTCTGTCCATGCTGCCAAACTCTCTGAACTTACTTCGTCATTTGAGGTACTATTTTTCTATGATTATCCTTTCTTGCTTCTGTGTGTGCCAGCTTCATTTTCTAATTGTCTTCAAGTGAAGATAAGTTAAAACTAATATGGAAAAATGCTCAAGGAATATGGTTTTGTTGAAGTTTAGTCTTTGCAGGTCAACAATTAAAATGATTGTCGTATTGTTTGACGCATTCTGGATTTTATATGTTGTGAAATCTTGTTAGACACCGATATCTTATCAATAAAGCTGGGTGTGGTGAATGACAATGGTCACATGGTTTGGACTTGTTCACAAAAGAAACTCAAAAACTATATATGTGTGCTAAACAGACTTTCTTGACCTGCAGGCAAAACTAAATGCGGCACTATCAGGGCCTGTTGAAGCTCTTTTAGATGGAGCTAATAGTGAGACATGGTCAGCCATAAAGAAACTTCTGCTGCGTGAGACAGAATCAGCTGTTGCTGGGTTCTGTAATGCAATCTGTGGTTTTGACATGGATGAACAATCTAAGGACAAATTAATTGCGAGTCTGGAGAATTATGGAAGAGGTGTCGTTGAGGCAAAAGCAAGAGAAGAATCTGGCAGGGTCCTGATCCGTATGAAAGACAGGTAACAACCCATTGCTATTTTTCAACTAAGTTATTTGTTTTGTTTCATATCCATCTTATGGAGAGTGAATGTAAACTTTGCATGCAGGTTTTCAATGTTGTTTAGCCATGACTCTGATTCAATGCCACGAATTTGGACAGGAAAGGAAGACATTCGAGCAATTACCAAAACTGCTCGCTCTGCAGTATGATCAATACATATTTCAACAGATGTTGATTCTCAAGTTTTGTTTTGAATATGGATCTCAACTAATTTCATTTGTTAAACTTTGCCAGTCTTTGAAGTTGTTATCTGTAATGGCTGCAATCCGTCTGGATGATGATGTTGACAATATTGAGACTACACTATCATCTGCTTTGATGGATGCGAAGAACAATGCTGCTATTAAAGACAGAAGTATCATACCATTTGACCCACTGGCCTCAAACTCTTGGGAAAAGGTGACCTTTTCTTATTGCTGAGCTTTTTCCGGGTGTTTATGTTAACATATCTTCAAATTTGCTTGTTATTGTCATAGAAAGAGTATGTAATCAATAATTCAAGAAATGATTTTTTTGGACCTTGTACTAAATCATTTTTCTAGGATCAATTCTCAAAACACACCTGGAAGTTTTTTTAATTTATTTGCAACTCTTGTGAACTTTTTTATATCGGCTGACAGATGACATTTGCATGAATGAGGTCTGCCATTCTAAGATAAGTGTTTGAGCAATGAATCTCTTTAATTCTGCATTTCAAGGAGATGGTGGTGGAACTTGTGATAGTAGATCCCATAGATGGTGCACACATAGGCCTGTAGCTATGAATGGGTCTGTCATGCTGGTGCAGATGCTATATGTAGTGGATCCCATAGATGGTGCACACATAGGCCTGTAGCTATGGATGGGTCTGTCATGCTGGTGCAGATGCTATATGTAGTGGATCCCATAGATGGTGCACACATAGGCCTGTAGCTATGGATGGGTCTGTCATGCTGGTGCAGATGCTCAGATGTCTACAAATGCATTTCTCTTTGATAAATTAATTGGGAATTGCCTGATGGATATTATAAGTACATACTGGCACTGTAGTATCGAGTGATCATTGCTTAAGACCTCTCCCTTGATTTTGCATGCACTGATTCCATTGGACTCTTCTTTACTTACCACAAAGCACTTTTTATACTTGGAACTGGTTTTGCTACTGCAGATTTCATCCTCAAGGACATTGATCACACCTGTCCAGTGCAAATCGTTGTGGAGGCAATTCAAGACAGAGACAGAGTACACTGTCACCCAGGCCATTTCTGCACAGGTATGGTATCCTTGCATATCATTAGGTTTGCAAATTTATTTTATGTTTTCACAGTTGTCTTTAGATTGTGATTGTTAACATAGAGATGGAACATAATGTACACCTTTTTTGCACTTTCATGTTTGCTAAGCTGTGCCTGGGATTAAGGCATGTCCAAAGAAATAAAACTTGAGAACCTAGTCCTGGTTGGTCAGTTGCATGAAATGCTGTACGTTTAATGATATCTGGTTCTTAAGAGTGCAGATTATCAAGTTTGTATAAGATGACAACATTTTACAGGATGTGGCAGGTGAAGTGGCACAAAAATATGACTAGGCTTCATCTCACGGCCTTAAATAACTGTATGAATATCACTATTAAAGTGTTGCCACCATTATCGAGCAATTTAATGGCTTTACATTTGGTGTTGCAGTCAAAACCCTTACGCTGCGGCAGTGAGTGTTTTATGTGCTGTAAATGTTATATTTGCTAATTCTTGGAATTTGATTATTGTGCTATTATAGTTCAGTTAAATGGGTAAATGGCTATATCAAATATCTGCTGTTTCTGGTAGTTTACATGAGCGCGCCGCGCGCACTCTCATCTACACATCTAATTGTGGATGCTTTGTTAATCTATTCACTTTTTCAATTTTCAGGAAGCCCACAAACGTAATAACAACTGGTTACCACCCCCATGGGCAATTGCTGCCTTGGTTGTGTTAGGATTTAATGAGTTTATGACACTTTTGAGGTAACATGGTTGTGGAATTAGATATTTTTGGTGACACGTTATATCCCTTGTTTGCTGATATTATTTATTTTGGCATTCTTTACTGTTGCAGAAATCCTTTGTATTTGGGTGTCATCTTTGTAGGTTTTCTACTCATTAAAGCCCTATGGGTGCAGTTAGACATTTCAGGCGAATTCCGCAATGGTGCTGTAAGTGTCAAACCACCATCTCATAGTTTGGTTCTGATTTTCCACGCATGTCTTGCTTTTGACAAACTCCTTTTACCCTTGAAACTATACCGCCAAACTCTCCATACTGACTTTTAAAAGTTTTGCACTTGTTCAAATTACTCGTTGAGTATGTTTTCTAAACACTCCCTCCCTGTCTGCATGTTCACAGCTTCCTGGGCTTCTTTCCTTATCTTCAAAGTTCGTTCCCACAATCATGAATCTTCTCAAAAAACTAGCAGAAGAGGGGCAGAAACCTGCCACGGCAGATCCTCAGAGAAATGCAACAAAAAGTTTTCAGAATGGATCAAGCTCTTTTAGTGATTCCTCATCAAGCGCTTCCTCTAGTGTTACGTCACCAAAACAAGGGACCGAGTACTCGAACACCTTGAAAGATGACTAGGTGGTGGGAACAGCTGTCTTATTGGAAAAGCATTTTAGTTTCTCTGTTTGAAGATGCCAGCATTCTGCTCGCATTATGGTGGATTGCATGTGTATGGTCCACGATTTTGAACTCTTGCAAGTATGTGAGAAGAACAGATTTTGAAGGCATTAATTTTTGTGTAAGTGCCGCATGCAGGAGGGTGCTGGTTTATTGTGAGAAAGCCCCCATTGAATAGTTCTTCATGTATCAACCCTAGGTGTTACTTTTGTTTGTTTATTTTTCGGGGACAAGCTACATCCTATCTAAAACATTGGTCGTGGTTGATTCTACTGGCTCGTATTCAATCTTGTCTTTGTGAGAATTGTGACGCTGTATCTGTTTGGCTTGTATCTTTTGCATTCTCTGTTTCTTTTTTGCTCTACTTCGAATGAGGGTAAAAAAGAGAGAGAAGGGCATTCGGTTTTGGAACAGGAAATGCAATTGATGATGATTGCTTTTATTTTATTTCTTGGTTTTCAAAGGGGTTCATAATATATCAATGGCGGATGCAGGGCATGAAGTTTGGCGGGGCAGGATGTCATATATATATATATAATTACAAATTAAATGAAAATCTTGTTTGTAATTTCCGATATATTCCTTGATGTCAAATAGAATTTGTAAAGTTATTTCCCTGTCTTGCGATATTTTTTATTTGAGAGGAGCCTGTATTGTGAATTTAATGAAAAGGTTTGGGTGAATATTTAATGAAAACAGATGCTTTGACTTGTGATTTTTATGAATGTTATTTTAATAAAAAAATATTTGCTCAAGGATTTGTTTATTTTTATATTTCAAAAATATTTAAAAAAAACTGAATTTTTTTACATTAAATTAATATTTTTAGTGTTTTTATATTATTTTAATATATTGATATTAAAAATAATTTTTTTAAAATAAAAAATATTATTTTTATGTATTAAAAAAAAAAACTTAAACAAGCAATTCAACATTCCATAAAGCCTCCAGAGCATCTTTGGCTCCATTTGCCGTCTAAAATTTCCAGTGTATATGTTCTTTCACTTTCAGACCTGGATGGAAAAGGTATGTATATATATGTCCATTAATTGCTTCCTTAATTTCTGTTCCTTATCGGCTCAAAGACATCTGGCAAGATTGTTTGTAATTATTATTATTTGCACTCGTTATTTCAAAATCAAGACAGACGTGTTCATGTAAGGAGACTGGTTCCCGTTAGTGGCGTGCAGACTGTCCTACACACGTGAATTCAATAAATCTCACGAGTCAGTGGACTCCAATGATTGTGACATGCAGACCAATAAGGGCATAAATCTCATTTCAGAAAATAACCATGAGAAATTTCTAGAAGACTCATTGGGCTTCAAATCTTAGTCACTGCTTTTTTTTTTTTTTATTATTATAAAAAAGAGAAATAAAAAAAATTATTATTATTATTATAAAAAAGAGAAATAAAAAAATAAAAACTAAATTTTACATAAAATAAAATGAATTAAGATATTGAGAGATATAATTACTTTTTTTTTTATAAAAAAGAGAAATAAAAAAATAAAAACTAAATTTTACATAAAATAAAATGAATTAAGATATTGAGAGATATAATTACTTTTTTTTTTATCAAGAGAATGATATAAAATATTGAGAAATGTCATTGAAAAAAATAATTTAATTGCAAGAATGATTAAAAAAATAATAAAGAAAAATTAAGGGCTAGATGTGAAAGGAAAAAAAGGATTAAATAGAAAAAAATATCAATTATGTGTATTATTTAAAATAAAAGAGAACAATAAAAATTAAAATGTCTGTTTTGAAAATGTATCAAGAAGAACAAATGAAAAAAAAAAGCACGATTATCATAACAAAACTTAACCTTTTTTTAAATAAATTAATATTTGATATATTGCTAAATGCTAAATTGTCCTTGATTAGATATGGTAATTATAAAAAAAATAAAAAAGACAAAAAAAACCTTGACCCATGGCAAAAATAATCTTAATTCAAGGGCATTGCAGTAATTTTATTATATATTTGAAATGAAAAAACCAAAAGTGTGCCTTCGTGCTGATTCATTATTTTTTAAATTCAAATGTTAGTTATTTTATTGAATAAATAAATAGAAAAAATTGGAATGTAGAATTTAAAAATTAAAAAAGGAAAAAATTTGGATTTTTTTTTTAAAACAAGGTGCTTCACCATAAACTTTTTCGTTTTTTTAAAAACAAGGTGCTTCACCATAAACTTTTTCAATTCTTTTAGTATAATTGAAGAATGAATTTGGGAGAAGAAAAAAAGAAAAGTAAAATTAATTTTTTTTTTGAGAAATTAAAAAAAAATTGAAGTGCTGTTCACATGAATAATAAAGCACCAAAAACCTTTTTAATATTTTTATTACAGAATAATAACTTAACAAAATTGATTTTTGATTTTAGGAGCCAATTTTTTACAGTAATTTTGACAAAAATAAGTTAAGTTAGCTATATATTTAGTGAAAATTTGCTCGAAATAACTTTATGGGTGAAGAAAAGTAGTATAAGTTAAAAGGCCAATAATTTTAACTTAGAATTTTAATTTGGTTACATAATAAGTTTTTTTTTTATTAAAGTTAAAAGTTAATTTTAACCAAATATATTTATGATTGTGCTATAAACAAAAGTTAAAAAAGCAATTGAAATTAATTTTAAAAAATCATGTGAAAGTAACCTTTGTCATCCTGATTAAGAGTTTATTCAAGATGATTTATAAAAAATAACTTTTAAATTGAATCATAATCTAAAATTAAAGTTGTTTTTCATAGATAATTTATAATAATAATAAGTTAAATGACTTTAAATTAGAATTATTTGTGGTCAAGAAAAAAAATAACTTTTTACAAAAAATAATGTAATATAATTATATTATAAAGGTCTTAGTAATCTGAAATGAGAGCTCGCTTTGATTCTCTTTCTCCTTCTATCTTTTTCAATTCAAACTTAGTTTTGTTTGTGTTTTTTTTTTTAATTTTATTGTTTAATATTTACTAAGTATTGAATTTATAATTTATTTTAATTTGTTTTTTATACTATGTATTGAATTTAATAATTTATTTTAATTTGTTTTTTATAAGGTTATTACTATCTTATTACTTGAGTTGCGAGTTAGCCACATTGTATCGAGTTTATTTTTTTTATCTTTTTTAATTGAGTATTTTTTTCAATTTTATTTTTTTAACATTTAATTGATTAGGAATTGAACTTTATAATTTTTTAATTTTCTTTCTATGAAGTTATTTCAGTCTCTTGACTCGGGTTTAAAAGGTTAACTCAGGTTGACTCGGGGTATTTTTATTATTTTTATTTGATTTCTTTTTTAACCTAATCCTTTAACATTTGATTGATTGTGAATTGTGTTTTATATTTTTTTTTCACGGAGTTATCATAATCTTATGACTTAGGTTACGAGTTAGGCCACTTGACTCAAGTTTTTTTATAGATTTCTTTTTTAATTTTATCATTTAGTATTAAGTTAATTGAGAATTAGATTTTATAATTTATTTTGGTTTGTGTTCTTTGAGTTTATTCTAATCTCATGACTCAAGTCATAAGTTTGGTTAGTTGACTCATATGGTTTTTTGTGTTCTTTTTAATTAATTTTTTTTTAAAATTTTACCCTTTAACATTGGATTGATTGAGAATTGAGCTTCATAATATATTTTCACTTGCTTTTTATAAGGTTATCTTGATCCCATAATCCATGTTTAATAGGTTAAAGTGGGTTGACTTAGCTTAATTTTTAGTTGAACTTTGTTTGTAATTTTATCCTTTTATATCGGGTTGCTTGAGAATTAGATTTAATAATTTTCTTTCTTTTCTTTTCATAGGGTTATCAGGGTTTCATACCCGAGGTAGAGGATTTGGCAGGTTAAACTAAGTTGATTTAATATGTTGTTATTTTAATATTTTTTTAAAAATATCTTCTTGATTTTTGTAGTCTATTTTTATTTGTTATCTGGGTTGTTTTTGGACTTATCAAGTCAAATAAATCATATTAGAACACTCCCTATATAGTTTAATTTTTTTTCCTACTAAAAAACACATTAACAACATACGAATAATTTTTTAAGTCCAGAATTTTTTATATGACCTCAACATAGCATGGAAAAGGATCTAGTAAAAAATACTAAAACATAGTGATTTTTACTGCTTCTTTTAGGGCAAGACTCAGCTGCACTATGGACCGCTACAATGTAGCTAAATCAACCCCTCTTTTTTTGAGTCCTTGAAAAATTATTTACGTTTTATCAGTTAACTATTTTCTTCAATCTCATCCCCCACATTATATTGATAATTTTGAACCTAATATTTTTTGTTTTGTTTTGGGTGCTATAACATGTTTTTTAATGTCAACAAATGTTCGAAATGCATTAAATTGATGCTCAATTTTACAAAATAAAATTTATTTTTATTAATTAAAAACATTGAAACAACAAGGATTGAATTTAACATTGAAAAACAACCCCTTTTTCTTTTTCTATTTTTATTGTTCATAGGGTGTAAAAAATACAATTTAGTTCTAAAAGTTTTTACTTTCTCTCTTCTGGTCCCTTTGTTTTGAGGGTTTATGATTTAGTCTTAAATTTTATTTTAAAAAAAAATGTTTCAATCCTTGAATCTTGAAAGGAAAGAGAGTTGTTGAAAATTAGAAGAGAAAAGGAAAATGGTTATGCATCCATATTTCGATAACAAAAAAAGCCAATCTTGATATCAATATGTTCTTAATAGAGAGAGGAGTAAAATGGATATGGTGTTTTTCTTTGGACATATCGTGAAAAGTAAATCAAGGCAAGTCAAGTTATTTTTTATTAGTTTAGATTTTGATTTATTAAGGTGATCATAGGCTTTCTTTGGTGTTCAGAATGAGTTTTTTTTTTTTTGAGGTTTTAAGATGTTTTTGGGTACTCTATGTGTTTGCGCGCGTGATTTTAAGATGTTTTTGGGTACTTTATGTGTCTGCGCACGCACTTGTATGTGGGATCATTCAACCGTTGAAAGGGAAGCAAAGGCACGTGGGCCTCAGTTCCAAGCCCACACACACTTGTTTTTTTTCTTTATTTGGTCAGACCCGTGTAGCTTTTTCTTAGATATTCCTTTATTCTTTCCTTTTAATTTTATATTTTTAACAAAAAAATATTTTAAAATAAATTTATTAAATAATATTGAAGTGATTATCTAGTTATGCCATTGTTTTTAAGAAGACTAGGACTTTTATGATGATATTATCAATTACTTTGTGCATGATTACATATTAACCTAATGTGTAGAATTTTTAAAATAATTTGGTCACTAATATTAAATGGAATAAAATAAATAGTTTTTTTTGTTTATTTCTTACCATTAATTAATTATATATATATATATATT